TGGCAAAAGGCAAGAGAAAGAGAAAGATGGAATAGAACTCTATAATTTAAAAGGCATTTAAAGGAAATTATCCTCCAATTAAAAAGAAAAAAAAAGGCATTTAAGGTGCCTTCCCTGGTGGTCTAGTGGCTAAGACTCTGCATTTCCAATACAGGGGGCTTGGGTTTGATCCCTGGTCAGGGAACCAGATACCATATGCTGCAACTAAAATATCCCATATGCTGCAAAGAAGATCAAAGACCCTGAGTGCTGCAATGAAGACCCAGTGCAGTCAAATAAATAAATAAATAATTTTAAAGATAAATAAAAGGCATTTAAGAGATACACTACCCAGTTGCAAAATGAAATTCAAACACTGAATGTATTTCATATTAAAGAATTATGATTTTTAAAATGTGATTATGGTACTATAGCTAGGTTTTGAAAAGAGTGTGTGTGTGTATATATATATATATATATATATTTTTTTTTTTTTTTTTAAAGATTGTTTTAGCCTTTTATGTTTATTTTTGGCCACACTACGTGGCTTGTGGGATCTTAGTTCCCTGGCCAGGGATCAAACCCAGGTTCATGGCAGTGAAAGCGCAGAATCCTAACCACTGGACAGCCAGGGAAGTTCCTGAAAAGAGTATCTTTTATAGATACAGAATATAAATGTTTATGTATGAAAGAACAGGATGTTCTAGATTTGCATCCAAATAATACAGAGGAAAGAGATGAAGAATATATAGGTATATGGATGAGACAAGACTGGCTGTGAGTTGACAACTGTTGAAAGTAAAAGAGGGGAGGGGTACTTAGGGATTCATTATACAATTCAGTCTATGAGACTGAAAGAGGAGAGTGAAAATGCCAGCTTAAAACTCAACATTAAAAAAAACCAAGATCATGGCATCCAGTTCCATCACTTCATGGCAAGTAAAAGGGGAGAAAGTGGAAACAGTGACAGATTCTATTTTCTTGGGCTCCAAAATCACTGTAGATGGTGACTACAGCCATGAAATTAAAAGACACTTGCTCCTTGGAAGGAAAGCTATGACAAACCTAGACAGCATAGATACCACTATGCCAACAAAGGTCCGTATAGTCAAAGCTATGGTTTTTCCATTAGTCATGTATGAATGTGAGAGTTGATCTATAAAGAAGGCTTAGGGCTGAAGAATTGATGCTTTTGAATTGCGGTGCTAGAGAAGACTCTTTGGAGTCCTTTGGGCTACAAGGAGATCAAACCAGTCAATCTTAAAGAAAATCAACCCTGAATATTCACTGGAAGGACTGATGCTGCAGCTGAAGTTTCAATACTTGGGCCACTTGATATGAAGAGCCAACTCACTGAAAAAGACCCTGATGCTGGGAAAGATTGAAGGCAAAAGAAGAAAGGGATGGGAGAGGATAAGATGGTTAGATAGCATTGCCAACTCAATGGACATGAATCTGAGCAAACTCTGGGAGATAGTGGAGGACAGAGAAGCCTGGAATGCTACAGTCCATGCGGTCACAAAGAGTTGGACACAACTTGGTAACTGAACAACAATACATTTTCCACTAAATAAATCAAATAAAAGAATAAAAGTTATTGTGTTGACCCACTCGCCATTGCAGGTTCTTTCAATTTTTCTCAAAGAAAGGGAACAAAGGAGAAAACAGAGAGAAATACCCCAGGAATTGAAAATGGGTTGTCTAGGAAGGGACACTGCAGACATGGTATGGAAAAGAATAAGGGGCTGTAAAAAATAGTGTTAGCTATGCTGTGAAATCATGCAGTTTGGATGCTGTGTTAAAGGGGATTATAGCACTGAGTTAAAGCTGATTTCAGAATAAAAGAGCAGATGTGTATAAACCTAGTAAAAACATTTGAAGCTTTGGCTTATGAAATGAACTCTTGACTTGAGTAAGTGAAAGGATAATTGCATGTAAACCCTGGATATCAAATCAGGAGGGTTTTAATTACAAAGGAGTTTCCTGAAGCCCTCTGCTCATCTCTTAATAAAGCCCATATCACACAGCAGTATAATTATATGGCAGTCGCCCTCCTCTGGATAGAACCACTTGTCATTGCTCCTGGGAAGGCAGTTCTAGCCTAGATACAGTCCTTCAGACACTCCATCCCTCAAGTCAAAGTACGACTCCCGAGGTTCACCAGGGTCCTGGCTCAGAGAAGAAATAGCGCTGGCTCTACGGTGATGTGCTGTGTGCTTAGTCACTCAGTCACGTCCAACTCTTTGTGACCCCATGGACTGTAGCCCACCAGGCTCCTCTGTCGATGAGGATTCTCCAAGCAAGAATACTGGAGTAAGTTGCCATGCCCTCCTCCGGGGGATCTTCCTAACTCAGGGATTGAGCCCAGGTCTCCTGCATTGCAGGCAGGTTCTTTACCATCTGAGCCACCTGATAAATATATATAAAACAGGAAGGAAAGAACAAGGGAAGGAAGAAAGGAAAGAAGAAAGTCAAATGTCCTTTATAATATCCCAACGACTTATGTAGGGGTAGCGTCCCTGATTAAAAGTAATCAGAGACTCCTCTATGATCCTGAGGTTCCAGGGAGAGAAGGGGTTAATACTCTCCCAGAAATTCCTTTCAGACTAAGCCCTCCAACGCACAGATTTACATGAGGAAGGTTATCTGCAAGATAAAAAGTCATTCCCCTCCCCCCCAACCCCCAAAAGCTGGAAGTCCAGAGATTACAGTGGGAGGCACTGTCAGCTCATAAATCTGCAGGGCTCAGGGCTCTGGGCAGCCCTTCTCATTGACAAAGCAATTGATACTTCTGCCAGGGAGGCTCCAAAGAAACTGTTTGTCACTATCTCATTTAGAGTCTTGACACCAGCACCCTTCGATAGTTCAGCTGGTAGAGAGGAGGGCTGCGGAGGTGATAAGAGAGTGGACACCCAAGTGGAGACACTGACACTCAAGTGTACAGATGTCAGCAAAGCCCAGGGACCCCGAATCTGTGAAAATCAGGATGGGAGGTCAGCAAGGGCCCTGAGGGCTAGGCTCTTCCCAGATGCCAGTTTATGACTTTCTTAAGGTTGTCAGCACCTGGGCCACTTGGTCTGGAGACATCATAACCAAAATGTATGGAAGGAAGTCCCAGCCCAGGAGCAGGCTGCAAGAGCCCCTCTCCAGGTTGATATCAGGTATTTCAAGGCAAGGCAGACAGCCAGACAGCTACGTGTCCTCCACCTCTGTCCCTCTGCAGCTGGGCTCAGGTTTTCTTGTTCGAGGTGATGTGAGTCCACAGCACATCGCAGTGTCTCAATGAATGGCCTGCATCTTCACTCTCCCCAAAACCACAGAAAGCCAACTGCTCTTTTCAGAAAAACGGGCAACCAATTGCTTCTGCTCAAGCAAGACCCTCTCTGTGAAGTCTTCCCCCAGGACGAATGAGTCAGCATTTCTGTGCTCCCACAGTGCCCATCAACTAACAGCTTGGCCATGGCACTTCTCACATAGCCTGGCCCACCACCTGGTCCTTATCTGATGAGCTGTTTTATCCATGGACCAAGGTGCCTTGAGGCAGACTGTAGCTGACTTCCTAGATCCTCAGTGCCTCAAATAAACTTCGAGTGAGAGTGTAAATGGTGATCCAGGACTCAGCAAGCCAAAACACCTCTGGGTAAAAGCCCATATCCTGACTCTTGCCTGAATCCTACAAAGTCACCTCCATCTACTCAACAGTATTGAAGCATTTGCTATGTCTGCGCCAGGTGGGCATTAGGCCAAGACCTGGGAGTGTAAGTGAAACAAGAGTCCCTTCCCCATGGACCTCAGATCCTGCCCTGAGGCTTTCTCTGCTAACAGTTAATGGAGTCCATTTGCAGGATGAGCTGGACCAGGCATGCAGACAATTAAACAGTTATGCAAACAAGCTACCACATGCTCATTCTAAGGCAGCAGGCCCCGAAAAACAACCCGCTGAGGTAGTGGAAGGAAAATATTAGAACGCCTATGAATATTTATTTTTCATCAAAAAGTAAGGAATTAAGCTTTAATAGTTACTACATGGATTGACAACAGTCTTTGTAAATGCAAGTATGTGCCTGTGACAGACAGACTCCAAAAAGAGGGGATATATGTATATGTAGAGCTGATCCACTTTGCTGCGTAGCAGAAATTAACACAACACTGTAAACCAACTGTACTCCAATTTAAAAAAAAAGACTTCACCTTCAAAATGCAAGTGGTGCAGGTTTGATCCCTGGTCAGGGAACTAAGATTCCACATGCTTTGTGGCGAAAAATCCAGAACAGAAGCAATATTATAACAAATTCAATAAAGACTTTAAAAATGGTCAAAAAAATCTTTTAAAAAAGTGACATATAATAGAGGGCATTAATGGGATCACAAGGTAAGCAATGACTGCTGGAAGGGAAGGAACACTTCAGATGACTAGATTGGCTAGTGCAAAGGCAGGATGCATTCTAGTGATGGCAGCAACTCAGCAAGGCTGCAGGCTCGGATTACTGAGGAGTGGGAGGGGGAGGCGAGAGACCAGCCGAGGAGGATCACGGTCTTCTTCCTGTACTCTGACACCCTAGGCTAACCACCTACAGTGGAATCATCAAAGAGGTCTGAAAACAAACCAGGCATGAGAACTGGTAACCTTCAGAGAACTGGATGAGTAATTACAGAGGGGTCATATTCAGGGTCTGAGGCCAGCCTGACAAGTCACAGAGAAACAGAGAGAACCACCAGACTACAATCAAATGGAATAAATCTATACTGTGTTGCTAGGGAGGGGACAGGGAGTAGAGAAGATGCAGGACCCAAAAGGCAGGAACTCCTCTTACAGAAGAATCTGGGAGCTCAGGTTTCCCAAATGGATAAAGACAGATGAGTAGACTTCCCAACTGAAGCCTCACCAAGAGGACACACACATGGACACGTGTGTACACACACACACCACACTGGACCGTGCTGATGGATAAAAAGGGCCCAGGCCTCTTGATGTTTGATGTTAACAACAGGATTGATGTCCCTGCCCATTGCTACTGTACCTCACAGCGAGAAGATGAAAGATACTTTCTTGCTTTCCTCTTTAGCTGGACTTGGCTGCTACAACTGTTTGGTTTGGGGCAGCTGTGCTTGTTAGGAGATGGTCCATCTCTGGTGCATCAAAAAAGTAGGCCTGCAGGAAAAGGAGACCCAGGAGGAGAGTTAAAAAAACAACGGTCCAGGTCAATGTCCTAGACTCCACGCTAAGAGCACTTCTGGGCTCTCGTGTCCCCTACATTTCCCCCACCGCTCTGGTCATCACTGACCTGTCTGTTTCTGTCTTGTACTCGACTGCATGCCTTTTAAAATTTTGCTACCATTTATTAAGCACTTGCTACCTATGACTCAATCTTCATAACAGCCTAGTGAGGTTGTTCTTATTACTCTCCTCTGACAGATGTAGACACTGAGGCTCAGGGAGGCTGTCATCTGATCAGGCACACAGGGCAGCAAGAGATGCAGGCAGGACTCAAAGGTCCGTCTTTCCAACTGCGAAGCTCAAGTTGTTAATCCCCACAGTCTCTCCTCTAGAGACCGTGTCCTTGTCTCTGCATCACCAGCCCCGCATGTAGGGCCTGGCGCACTGTGTATACAATCAATACTTAATGAACTGAACCAAGGCTGCTGCTAAACCAGTAGGCTCCCTCTAAAGACCTTTCAAAGAAAGGGCTGGGCAGCCTTTACCTCTTAATTCTTCAGCCTGGAAATGAAAGGTTTGATAAGTGCTTCCACTCACCATCAACAATTTAACTGTCAAAAATCAGAAGGAGGTGGAAGACTGGAAAACATTAAGGAGGATCTTCCCATCTGTTTTGGTGTCTGAGAAGCCTAAAGTGAGCCCAGGAAAATACCAGACTCATAGCCTTAATGAGGGTTGTTCAAAGGACAGGTGAACCCATTAATAAATCCGTGACCACTGTGCGCTTCATTCCTGCCTGGAGCAGGGACCTCAGGAAGGTGAAAAAGATAAAAAATCACCAAGAACCATCTCACCAGCTTTACCCTCTATCCGCCAGAAGGGGGCACCAACACATCACACTGGAGTTTCCCCAAGGCACTTTCTATTTCAAGTTAGCACTTCAACAGTCCATTTCAAGAAGTTTCTAGCTGCAGACTCCCTCTAGTTTGTCACGTCCCTGGAGAAATGCTATTAGTTTTGAAAGCCTTCCTACCCAGCGCCCCTTCCGGCAGCTCCGTTTTCTGAAGGAGGAGAAGAATGGTGTTAACCCGAGCAGAGGCCAGGCCGCGCTGCCCACGTTTGTTATCTCACAGGTGCTCTGGGTCAAGACACCCCCAGGATGCGAGAACAGCGACTCTTCCAAGGCTCCTGGACGAAAGCCTCCCCAGACAGAACTAGCCGGGAAGCCCAGGTTCTAAACCTGGCTCTGCTAGGAACTCACACTATGACTTTGGACAAGTCTTATCTGTAGAATGAAAGGACTGTAAAAATAATCCCAAATTAATTTCACAAACAACAGGGCAAAGACATTCTATCTGTAGCTGTAACCACCTCAAACGTAGGCTTGCATGCATGCTCAGTCACTTCAGTCAAGTCCGACTCTGCGACCCTACAGACTGTAGCCTACAGAGGACCCAGACATAGGTTTGGGCATCTCCAAACATACCAGCCAAGAACGCACCCTCTAGTGCCTCCTTAGTCATCCCTGCCAGGTGTACTCCAGGATCAACTTAGAGATCACGAACAGGTACAAGCGCCAAGGAGCCCTTGGAAGGTGTAGGGCTGTCATACACGTCACTGCATTGAAGCAAAAACACCATTTCACATTTCCTGTTGGAGAGTAGAAGGCCAAGCTGTCCAGTTCAGCCGGTGCCCCTCAGCTCAAACAACTCCCCTGATACTTTTTCTCCCATACAATGATGATAACTGGATGCATCATTCATCCTTACAACAGCAAAAATGTTACGTCTTTACTTCTTCTAAGTGAGGAGGTAGGGTCCAGAGGGGCGAACTAATAAGCAAAAGAGCAAGGAGTGATGGAGCTGAGACTAAAACCTGTCTCCTTATGTCTGCCTCCACCCTCCTACATTGTGCATCTCCCCCAGAAAAGAAAGGAGGAGGCCATCTTCAGGGTGGACAACAGAACCCCAAGCACAGTGATCTCTTGGCTAAACAGACAGTTCCCTTCCTCGAGGAGAGAAAACTGTGCCTCCCCTCCAAGACCTGCAATCAGCTCCCTGCTCCACCATCCAGCCTGCCCCATTTCTCTGAGCCCCTCAGAACTGGACAGGGCAATGGCTTTTCCCTTGCCTCCTTCTCTCACCCAACTTCTCAACCAGGCGTGTGCATGTGTGTGTATATGCGTGCACATGCCTGCCTGTGTCTGTGTCTGTGTCTGTGTATGTGATAGGTAAGAAGTTCAGGAGGAAGATGGGAAGCCATGAGGGAGAGGCATCAATGAAGGGGCACCGTCCTTTTTTTTTTTCCCCCATTTATTTTTATTAGTTGGAGGCTAATTACTTTACAAGGCACCATCTTTTTTTGTGACCTGGGACCACTCTTACTGGGTGACTTGGCAGAACAGGCCACACAGTGGCCCTGGCAATTTCTGGTAACCCTGGGCTCTTTTAATAACTTCTTTACATCTGAAAAAACTATCACAGTATGTGAAGGGTTTTCACAGCCATTTCACTGAGTCTCACTAAAGCCCATGAAATGCAAATCTCCCTGACAGACAAGGAAGCCCAGGCTCTGAGTTAAGTCACTAGCCTGAGCTTTCAATGCTAAGGAGTTCCCAGTCCTTTCTGCTTGGTTATGATGCTCTCTTTTAGAAAACTGCTGAGTAGTAAGATGGGCAGGTAAACCTTAACTTCAGTGTCATTTACCCCAAGAGGGAGCAGTAGGCATTGGAGGTAAAAGATCCTGGCCACAGGTACCAAATTAAATTAAAGACCACCTCCCCACTCTGCAGCCCTGTCTGCCTTGCTTCTCTCTATTCTTCATAGAACTGAACACGGCAATACCTTTCTCCTGCCTCCTTTCCTTCACCAACTTCTTAACAATGGACGTAACACACACACACAAAATTCAAAACAGAGATGGGAAGATGCAGAGGCATTACATCAAGAGAGTCAGTTTCAATGAAAAGTACATTCTTCCTCAGCAGACAGGAGGGTCACAGCATTTGAAGGCATCAGTCCAGAGGTTCCAAGTACCAAACATGAAGTACGTCATTCTGCTGCAAGTCCTCTGTCTCAAGGGGTTAAAGCTTAGGAACAGGTAAAATGCATGTCAACCAACCCACTGTTTCAGAACTTGGCACTTTCTATGAGACTTGTTGAATGATAAAGTATTGAGATCTTATTAAAGCATTCAATGAGACTATGATTGTCTAGAGAAAATATTAAAGATCAAACAGTGCCAAAGATATATTAACTCCTGTTGCAAAGCCTGACCAACGGTCTGGCCATGTGCTATGTGGATATCTTCCTGTGGGCATCAATGACCTTAACATTCGTAGACTCAAAATTTTTTAAAAAACCTATACCAGGCCTGGTTAAGGCTACTGGCAGCAAATTTCGTACACAGTGTGTACAGAAATTAAAAAACCATACCTCCTTAGGATCAAAGGAAATGGACCTAATTTATGGGCATTTATGGGACAAGTTCTAGGATAAGTGCTTTGTCTGTATTATTTTATCCTCAGAACAACTTTCTATGGCAACAGCTATCATACCCATGTTACAGATTAAGAGATTCAGAGAAGTTAGGTTCCCTGCCCAAGTTTACACAGCTGGTGAGTGATAGAGTTGATCTTTAACCTGGGTGTGTCTGACTCAAAAAGTACATGCTCTTCCTAAAAAGATACTCAAACACATTAACTTAAACATTGTTTTAAATGTTGTTCATCTTAAAGATAACTTCTCTTTTCTATTTTGATTTCATTCTCAAGTTCACCATCTGAGTATGTGCAAAAGCCCAGCAAAGGCATCCAGAGGTGGAACTCCCGGACCCCTGCTCCCCAGCCTTACGTGAAGACACTCATTCATCCCTACTTCCTCTAGCCAGACACCAAATCTCAACCAAACTTCAGAAATCAGATAAAGTCAGAAAAAAAAAGAAATTAGGTAAAGTCAGAGATTATAACCAAATTCTCATGACTATTATTTCTCATCCAGCAGAGCCTATTTAAAATAATATCTATTCCAGGGAGCCAGCTTTTAAAGAACCATGGTGTCTAACAGTTTGAGGTCTTAGCATGGCATCTAAAGTACACCAGAAGAGCATCGGAATGAGACCGTACCAAGCAGCCCACAGAAAGCAGCATGTGAAGCAACACAATCGTCACAATTGTGGCCAATGCGATGCGTCGGTTGTCCTCACGAACAGCTGGCCAAAAGGTCATTGCCAAGACAGAGCCAGAGATGCCTAGGGCAATCATAACCAGAACCCAGCGGACTGCTTTCTGGGGGATGATCCACAGGATCTGAAAGAAAAGGAGGGTGGGGAGGGTTTGTTCAGAGAGGCATTTGTTCATTCCAGGCCCATGTGCTCGTAAAGGCCCAGGAGCCCGTCAGCAGTGGAGCCCTAGCTGCCACTCGGGTTTCCCAGCACAGCCCAGAGAAATTCCACCCGTGTGGAGACCGAGGGGAAAGCTTCCCTGATGAAGGGCCCAAGATCCAGGGAAGGCACTAGGCTCCCCGACCCCCATTCCCACAAAATTTCTAAATTCCAGGGGCATTTTTTCAGATGCACATCGGTGTTAGGTTAGATATAATGATGCCAGCTGAGTAATTGTGGCCTCACTCAGAGTAAGTGTGGTACTTACAGCCGTGGGGATGTAAATGAAGAGCGAATATCCATAGACGCATACAATCTCCAAAAATGAATAGGAAACGATGTTCATAACTTTACTGTTTCTCCATACAAGGAAACCCCAGAGTGCGAGAGGGACCAGCCAGGCGTAGGCATAGATGATTGTGGCTGCGATGGACACTGAAGGTGAGAAGATACAAGTTGCAGTTCCACTGTCACGGGACTTCTGGGACCCACTGGACTTACTTCCTGCAGGGCTGTCCATCTGCCTCACTGGGTCAGGGGATGATGTCTTCCTGGTTTCGGCCCCTGAGCCTGGCAAGGTACCCAATAAGCAGCAGGTGCTCGATAATGTGCTGAATCAATGTTCCTTCAGCATTTGCCTTTGTGATGATGACTAGTAGTCTCTCCTATGGCCTCTATAATTCACTTTATAACTAACAACTAATAGTATTAAACAACTGAATTATGTACTGAAATACTTCCGAGGACCACACTACAAGTATTTAAATACACGGAGCATTTCAATCAAATCAAAGTCGACTATCCCCTTGGAAGAACACGTCCTCTTTCCTAATGTAACAAAAGCTGACACTGATTTCTTTAGCAAATTTATGAAAATACCCTGGGAACAGATTAACTTGTTCTGTGTGCTATTTAGAGTTCCTTCTGTCTCTGAAACAGGGAGTTTCAGCTCATTGATGAATTGCTTAAACTATTCTCCAGTTCCACTTTCTTCTTTAAATAATTCTTGTCTCTGTGGTGGAAATGCTACCGAGTGACTCCTCAGAGCAGCAGTGTTCACTGCATCACTTACTGTCTGTCCCTCCTCCTTCTGAGCAGCTACGTGCCCTAGAGGGTTCAGCTTCACTCTTCTGGAGTGGAGGGTCATAACTGTGGCTCAGTCCACAGCACCAGCCCTTCCCACGTGAAAATCAGCAGGTAATCCATCAAATGCTCTTGGCAAGAACAAAAGCACTCCTAGCCACTATGGCCAGGCTCTGGGTAAGATATGTGATTGTCTAAAACATTCTCCAGCTCCCAGGGCAGTTTTTTCATATAAGTAACTCTGTCATTATGTCAAATGTAATTTTGCTGGTCTACTGCCTTTTTCTTGAATAACAAAAGGAAGAGGAAGGAAACTGCTACTATGACTGTAGCTATCCGCTGGGTGTCAGGCATTACACTGAGAGCTTTACTGAGAGGTGAGGCTGTGTAACAATCAGAGCTACAGACTGTATATACAGACTCTAATCCTACCTCCGCCCCTTGTTGTTTAGTCACTAAGTCATGTCTGATTCTTTGCCACCTCATGGACTGTAGCCCGCCAGGCTGATCTGTCTCTGGGATTTCCCAGGCAAGAAATGCTGGAGTGGGTTGCCATTTTCTTCTTCAAGGGATCTTCCCAACCCAGGGGTTGAACCCAGATCTCCTACCAGGCAGGCGGATTCTTTACCACTGAACCACCTGGGAAGCCCAGCTCTGTCACTTATATTAATAGATGAGTAAGCCTGGGTGGTGAGTTACTTAACCTTCCTGCCTCAGTATCCTCATCTATAAAATGGGAATCATAACAGTACACTACCTTATAAGACTATTAGAATTAAATGAGTAAAAACAGGTATATTTAGAACACTGACTGATAAATAATAAATGCCCAATCAAGAATAAACTTTTTATACTGTTAACTAATATATAAATACATTATTTCATATAAACTATATCTTTATTCTAGAGATGAGGAAATAAGATCAGAGAGCTAAGTGGTTTGGTTAGGGTCAAATAATGAATAAGCAGGGAAGCAGGATCTGACCTTGGATGTGTCACTTACACTCTTTACATAAAATGGAAAAATATTTACTGATTGAGTCAATGACGACCTTACTAGCATATATATCCCAGTATGGGATATATCTGACACTGGGATGCCCAGACCAACAGGAATAAGGACAGACAAGGACCCCCGCCCCCTGCCCTCCCCGCTTCCCTCCCAGCTTCCACACCCCCAGGTAGGAGACTCACTCCTCTTCTCTGTCAGTATACTTCTACAGACCTCTGATACAGAAATTAACACAAGCCATTCATTACAGCAATATCCATTACCTATTTTTCTTTACCTAACCACTGAACTACTTAAAGGCAGATTGATAGCTCATGGATAACAATGATTGAGTTAAATTTAAACCAAGGTCACTTGACAAATGGGAGTTGAGACTGACTCCATAATAGAAGAGAGAAGGGAAAACAGGCACGGAGAGTGGATGGGGAGGAAAGGAAGGCTACATGGACACACAGACAGGAAAACACATTATTCTGTAGACACACAGGTATGTGTACATACATATGCAGCAATAGTTCATTTTACCGAATTCTTTTTGTACAAGGCACTATTCTAACCTCTTTACAGACTTCACTTCTTTATTCTTACAATAGCCCTATAATATAGATATTCTTATTCCCATTGCACTGGCAAGGAATCTGAGGTCAAGAGAGATGAAAGAATTTGCCCAACAAGGTAGAAGCTGGCGAGTAAAGACGGAGGCAGGAGCCGATGGCTGGGTGCCCGAGCGCATGCTCTTCCACAGCTTCTCAACAGGAGAGCAGGCCGTCAGGGCCAGAGCGAGGGAAGGGGAGGACAGCGGAGGGGGCAAAGGCCAATCTCCTGCACAGCCAAACGCTCCTACCTTGGGTGGCTGTCATCTGCAAGTCCCTAAAAGCGGTTTTTTCGCCCCCAGCTATCCAATACTGCCACATGAAAGGAATTTTTATTTTATTTATTTTTTTGACTGCACTGCACAGTTTGTGGGATCTTAGTTCCCAACCAGGAATCAAAGTCAGGCCCCCAGCAGTGGAAGCACAGTATCTAACCACTGGACCACCAAGGAAAAGTCCCTAGAAAGGCAGTTTTAAAATAAGAATGTCACCCACAAGCCCATCCTCACTAGGACACTCTGACCTCTGCGTTCTCCCTTCCGGGCCCTAACCGTCTGCAGACTTCGCTGTAACAAAACTGCTAACAGCACTGGCATAAGTTTGGATTATGAGTTCTCCACGTTGTTCTAAGTGCTTCATAATTAATGGCTACAAGACCTAGCTAGCTGAGTCATCATGCCTTAAATAACAAGGCCGACTGCTTCTAACAGTTGGATAATGCAAATAATGCTACAGTGGGGATTTTTCTACACAGTGCTTTTTACTTATTTTGTACATTTTTCTGTGGAGACATTCTGATTGCCATGGGGCCTTGCCTTACAGTTTTCCAGAAGAGTACACAGATTCACAATATTGTGAATATACTTAATGCCACTGAATTGCACGCTTAAAAAATGGTTAAAATGGAACATTTTAGGTTATTTTAACAAAAAAAAGATAAAAAGCCTACGTGGATTTATATGGACAGATGATTAGTTTTGAACCCTTAGACAAGAAAATGGGCTGCAGGACCTTCAGACGGGGGTCCAAGAGCTCAGTTAGCAACTGAGAGCATTCCAGGTAAGTCAAGCGATTCACCAACCTTTTCGGAATTCAGGCACATAGTGGTACGTCTTCTCTCCCAGATGGATTAAGAAGTTGGAAAGATTCCCACTGATTGCTATGGCAAAGACCAATGTGGCACAGATCCAAAAGGGGCCTGCAGAGCAAACCAGAAAATTCAGACAAGAAAATGATGAACAAGCTTCATGGAAGCAATGGAAAATGAAGTTTAGATGGAATCAGTACTCGTTAAGTGGGAATTTTCTTTTTAAAAGGTCAAATACACAACTCAGTAATTAGCTGCCTTAAAGACAGTGGGGATTGAAATGCACAGAACAAAACACCTTCCCCAATTAACTGAATGAAGACATTGATTTGTTTATGTATCTCTTATTGGAAGAGCATCCAAAAAAAATTCATCCTCCTGTGGAGGATACAGGAAGCAAAGGTTACTTCCTTTACATAAGTATCAAATGTTAATGCCAGAGAAAAAAATAATTAAAATTATATAGGTCCTTTGCTGTCTAAACAGAAGAGCAGGGCAAGAGTTCATTTAAGGAAACAGTTCATTTTAGGAAAGAGTTCATTTAATTTAACAAATCACCATGTGTATCTGTGTGTGTGAGTGTGTATGTAAGCCTTCTTTTTTTCTTTCTTTTTTTTTTTTATGAAAAAGTAATACACACGCATAGTTCATTATTCAAAAGGCACAGAAGGGGATACAGAGAAAATTAACCTTCTTTCCTCTCTGCTCCCTAGATATGCATTCTCCTCCACAGAACTCACCAGCATAACCAGTTTCTGGTGAACCCTGCCAGAGATTTCTATACACATAAAAGCAAATGCATATTTGTGTGTGTGCTTTAAAGAAATGCTAACATGCATATGTATTTCCACCTTACCATGTCGTGGGGATTCTACTATAGCTATTTATAAGTCACTTCAGTCGTGTCTGACTCTATGCGACCCTATTGACTGTAGCCCACCAGGCTCCTCTGTCCATGGAATTCTCCAGGGAGGAATACTAGAGTGGGTTGTCATGCCCTCTTCCAGGGGATCTTCTCAACCCAGGGACTGAACCCATGTCTCTTATGTCTTCTGCACTGGCAGGCAGATTTTTTACCACTAGTGCCACCTGGGAAGCCCATAAAATTCAGCTTATTCTTTTTAATGATAATAAAATATCCCACTGAGTGGATGAGTACACCATGCTTTAGAAGTCCCTTTCATCATTTTGCTTGATTTCATGACCACTCTTGTTTCTCCCCATCTAGAAAAAGGACTATTTGAACAAATACAATTCATAAATCTAGAGATTTTAATAAATTTTATGAATTTCATTTATCAATTTCAGTAATATTCTGTAGGGTTGGTTTGGTTTTTTTTTTTTTTTTTGGATAATTGTAGGCATCTTGACATATCACAAAATTAAGAAAATTACTGTGCTGGGGGAGATGACTGGCAGAAATGGATGAGCACTTTTTGAAGTCAAGTTGGTTCCTGAAGGTGGGAAAGGATGCACAACAAGCATTTGACTGGGAAGCTCCAAAGAGTCACCAACATCAGCTTCCCAAGTAGTGTCATTGACTCACTGGCCTGCGGGCGTTCTGTTACAGCCAAGGATCAGATCCTGTTCGCTGCAGTATTCTGCATGCCTAGCACATAAACAGTGTAACAACAACCAAAAAAAACACCCTTACAACCAGTAACAATAATTTAAAAAATCCCCCAAAGCTTTATTGAACAAATGAACAAAACTAACCATGTGTTAGGATGGGCTGAGACCACCGAGGCAGGCGACCACAAGCGGTCAGAATATTCCAGCACTCGTAACTAGGAAGGAGACTCTCCTGTCGGCCGTTATTTACTAACGACCTCCGTCCCTCTGGGCCCTGGTGCTGGGGACACAGTGATGTGTGACAGCCACGGCCACTGCCTCTGCTGCACTCAGGCACACAGGAAGCGTGGCCTCCAGGGACACACACCACCTGCTCCTCCAGGGCCTGCCACGAGGCTTCACACTGCCTTCTCTCTTCCTCATGCCTGCCAAATTCCTACTCCAATTATGGGGTGGGGTGGGAGGAAGCGTTAACCTAGTTTGCTACTGTGCATTTTTATATTATCAAATATTTCTAACAGAAAAGCCCAAAGAATGATAAAACAAACACTGATGCACTCATCATGCTTATTTTTCAAATCTTTCTAATGCTGTCATACTACTCATATCCTTCTCCAACACGCTTCTTTTCATTTACTAATAACGTTCTGAGATGTGTCCTTGTTGATGCTCATAGATCAAATCCATTACTAAAACCTACAGAAATCTGTATATGAACACACCATATTTACTTTGGTCATTTCAAAACATTTGCTAATTACAAGCAAGTGGAGGCAATGAAGAATAATACTCTTCTATATGTCTTCTTATTTACCTAGGAGGAGAACTGCTAAGGTGTAGGGCTAGAGCATCTTAAGACTGCTCCAATTTGTGGTGCCAGTTACATACCCACCCACATTTTACACAAGGTCCCATGGCTCCATATCCTTGGCAACACTTGATACCAATGTTTATGAAAAGCTGACTTAAGAGTTATAGCTCCTCTCTGTTTAGACCCTTCAATGGCATCTCATTCAAGCAAAAGTCCTTCTGACCTCATCTACTAGATGCCCTTGTTCACTCCAGCCCAGTCACACTAGTGTCTTCACTGTTCTTTGAGCACATGAGGCAAGTTCTTGCCTTAAGGCCTTTGTACATGCTGAGCTCTCTTTTCCATATTATTTATTTATTTGGCTGTGCTGGGTCATAGTTACGGATGTGGGCTCTAATTCACTGAACAGGGATCAAAGTGGGGCCCCTGCATTGGGAACACAAAGTCTCAGCCACTGGACCATCAGAGAGGTCCCAGAACTCTTTTTCAAATGCTCTTCTCTGAGATACTTACGTGTATTGCTCCCAATTCCTTCAGGTGTTTACTCAGAATTCACCTTTTAACATTTTTAAAAATTTCAAATCCACCCGCCTACATAAACATTTACTATCTTTCTTCTCGGCTTTAAATTCTTACGTTAGCATTTATCACTAGCACACTGTGTATTTTACCTATTTTCTTTGTTTATTGTTAAACTTAGATCATAAACTGCCCCTGGGCAGGGATTTTTGTCTGTTTTTATTACTGCTGTACCTCCAGCGCCTAGAATAGTAAGTGCTTCGTATTTGTTGAATTAATTGAATGAATGAATGAATGAAGACAAGCCAAGCTGTATGATGGCTAAATAGATGCACATAAATGATATCCCGTTATAGTTTTTATTTCCCTGATTACAGGCATGTGCTAAGTCACGTCAGTGGTGTTTGATTCTTTACAACCGTATGGACTGTTGCCCACCAGGCTCCTCTGTCCATGGGGTTCTCCAAGCAAGAATACTTAAGTTGTCATGCCCTCCTGCAGGGGATCTTCACAACCCAGGGGTCAAATCTGCATCTCTTAGGTCTCCTGCACTGGCAGACAGGTTCTTTACCACTAGTGCCACCTGGGAAGCCCTATTACAGATATAGCTAAGCATTTTTTCATGTATTTATTGGCCATTTGGGTTTCCTTTTCTGTTGCTTATTTTTTGCTAGAACTTGTAATTGGTTTTACTCTTATAATCAGTAGGCACTCTACATGGATTCTTGACTTTTATCTTTTGTGAGTTATGTGCTCTGAAACATTATCTTTGGTCTGTGGCTTATTTATTTATTTTACCTTGTTTATGGTTTATTTTGTGGTGTAGAAATTTTAAATTTTGGTGTAAATGTAGTCAAATTCATTCATCTTTCCCTCAGATCCTGCAGACTGGCTCTTCTGTTATCTTGCTCCTGATCACCTTCCTCCAACCCACCCCACAAGGTCAGCCCTCTCTACTAAAAAACTTTCTTTTTTCTAGTTGTACTTTTTTTTTTTTTTTTTTGGTTGCACTATGTGGCATGCGGGGTCTTCCCTGATCAGGGATCAAACCTGTGTCGCCTGCATTGGGAGTACAGAGTTTTAACCACTGGACTGCCAGAGAAATCCTGTACTTTCTTTTTTTAAGCATGTCTATGCGCTCATGCAGGCTTTCCCAGTGGCTCAGGCGGTAAAGAACCTGCCTGACAATGCAGGAGACGCAGGTTCGATTCCTGGGTCTGGAAGATCCCCTGGAGGAGGAAATGACAACCCACTCCAGTATTCTTGCCTGGAGAATCCTGTGGAGAGAAGAGACTGTTGGGCTACATTCTTGGAGTCGCAAGGAGTCAGACAAGACTTAGGAACTAAAACAACATGAATTCATGAGGTTAACAGCGCTGTGGAAAGAAGAATGTTTTAGGATCAAAGGTGAGTGGAAAGGAGACTTTCCTCAGCATCCATTAGAGCAGTTCCACTTTAACCTAACATCCATAACAGTTGATGAAAAGTTTCTGGAGCTTAAAAACATCAGTTTAATAGAATAAGTAGGGGCTTTATATTAACACTAAACCAGGTGCTGCGAGTGTGTGTAGTTTCGCTTCAGTTGTGTCCAACTCCTTGCAACCTCATGGACTGTAGCCCACCAGGTTCTTCTGTCCATGGAATTCTCCAGGCAAGAATACTGGAGTGGGTTACCAAGTCCTCCTCCAGGGGATCTTCCTGATCCAGGGATCAAACTCACATCTCTTATGTCTCCTGCACTGGCACCACTTAGAAAGCCCAAACGAGGTGCCAGTTCTACTTTAACTATTTATAATAAATAGTTGATTTATTATATAATATTACATAAGTTTCAAGTGTACATAGTGAGTCATAATTTTTAAAAATTATATTCCATTTTTAGTTATTATAAAATATTAGCTATATTCCCTGTGCCGCATCTTTATAGCTTATTTATTTTATATGTAAGCAGTTTGTACCTCTTAACCCTCTACCCCTATCTTGCCCCTCCTCCCTTCTCTCTCCCCACTGGTAACTATTGGTTTGTTCTCTATATCTGTGAATTTGTTTCTTTTCTGTTAGATTCACCAGTTTCAGTTCTTATATTCCACATATAAGTGAAATCATACAGCATGTATTTTTCTGTCTGACTTATTGAACTAAAGTATAATACCCTCCCAGTTCATCCATAATGTTGCTAATGGGAGTTCTTAGTTTGACAACTTCTAACCTTAGTTTTCTCAAATGGAAAACAGAGATAATAGCACTTAATACACTGCCCTCTTGAAAGGATTAGAGTGTATGTACTGATTGGTACACAACAGATTCTCATAAATTCCTTTTCCTCTTATAATCAACATGTATCATTGTTCTAATACTTACTGTATAGGGTTGAACATATAAATTACTGAACCCCACTGAGCATCAGGTTCTTCATTACAAAAATGGGGATAATAACGCCTACCTCAAAGATCGTTGAAAGAATTAGCTGTGCCCATGTACACCAAGTCTTGCAAAGAGCATCTGCACACAGAAGCACTCAGAGTCTCTGGCCCTCTTCTCCCCTCAAACACAGAGGTCACCAGTGTTGGAACCCTTTCCCTCAGAAGCACTGGATGGACCTCTGACCCCTCCTCAGACAGCAGGGAGATTGGGATGACACCAATCCCCAGGCTCATCCCCTTACAAACTCCCAAGGGGCAGCCAGCCTGTCTGAGGGGCAGAGCTAGAACTCAGCACATCAATGAATAATTGTAAGACAGCCTCCTCCACACTCACCCCAACCACCAAATCCTCTAAAATTAAAATCAATAATCTCCTCTATATGAAGTGACTTAATTTGTCTCAAGTTTGTAATGTCATTTGAAGACTTTCAAAGGACACACTATTCTTGTCATCATGGCATTAATCAAACATGTAATTGCATTTTCTCCAACATTCTTTGCAAGAGCTGCTACTGAAGCTCAGAAGAGACAAAACGCTCGTGCCCCACCAACAGTGTGCTTTGCCAGCTTTCGAGGCAACCCACACCCTCATCTGTGTTTAGCCAGTACATGAAAAAGAACCAAAACAGTGCTACACATACGTACCATAGAGATCTGGATTGCTGCGGATATACAACCTTACAAAGTTTTTTCCTGGTATTGGCAAAAGAGACCCCTTTATTCTATCAAAGACCTGCAAAACAGCATAGTGGTAAGTCTACAGATGATTTTTTTTCTTAAAGTTTAGTAAAGTTTAACTACTGCAAAATCGGAACAGTTGTTAGAGCTTTTATTATTTATTATCTTTTTATTATTTCATTTAGTATTTTCAAGTGCCAATAACCCTTTACTTTTGCAGACCATATCCAGTATGCAATACCTTTCACATTACCTGACTGTTTAACAGCAGAAGAAATAAGTCTGCATTATACATCAAAAGAAAGGTGAAACTGGTTTACAGACCTGGTACGTGTCTACATCAAAGAACGTCTGATAGTATTCAAATGTCCAGAAGGGGGAGCTTTTCTTCTGTCCAGCAAGTAACTGTCAGAGGTAAAATAAAACATAATGAAGACAGAAGTAATTTCCTTATTCTAGCTACCCAGACAGAGAAAGAGAGAGGATCTAAGAGAAACTCATGAAATAGGAAAGACCAAACTCTTCTACATTCATCCATCACTTTTACCATAGCCACACCCAATTCTTCAGTTCAGTTCAGTTCAGTTCAGTTCAGTCACTCAGTCATGTCCGACTCTTTGCGACCCCATGAATCTCAGCATGCCAGGCCTCCCTGTCCATCACCAACTCCCAGAGTTTACTCAAACTCATGTCCATCGAGTCAGTGATGCTACCCAGTCATCTCATCCTCTGTTGTCCCCTTCTCCTCCTGCCCCTAATCCCTCCCAGCATCAGGGTCTTTTCCAATGAGTCAACTCTTCGCATGAGGTGGCCAAAGTACTGGAGTTTCAGCTTCAGCATCAGTCCTTCCAATGAACACCCAGGACTGATCTCCTTTAGGATGGACTGGCTGGATCTCCTTGCAGTCCAAGGGACTCTCAGTTCTTAGCCTGACATAAAATAAGCATCAGTTTTGAAGTCTTATCAAAAGGTTTTAAATCCTGGTCCCTCCACTAGGGGGCAGCTTCATCAAATCACTAGACTCATCTCAGTCTTCCTAATCTAAAAAGTATAGCTAACATATCTGCCTTTTAGGGTTATAGGGAGGATTAGATTAATTATTGGGGCTTCCCCAGCAGCTCAGTTGGTAAGGAATCCACCTGCCAATGCAGTAAATATAAATTTAATCCCTGGGTTGGGAAGATCCCCTGGAGGAGGAAAGGGCAAACCATTCTGGTACTCTTGCGTGGGAAATCCCATAGACGGAGGAGCCTGGCGGGTTACAGTCCATGGGGTCGCAAAGAGTTAGACATGACTTAGCAGCTAAACAACAACTCTAGTACAGAAGCACTCAGATTGCCTCAGTTTAAAGTTCCATCTGCACCTGCCAGTTGCATGTCCTGGGGCAAGTCACTTAAACTCTGTGCCTCGGGTTTCTCATTTATAAAATGAGTATATGATTGCTTCTTGGCCTTTGGGCTAAAATCAAGTATAAAATGAGTATAAGAATAGTTCCTTGCATAGTGGGTTGTTTTGATTACATGAGATGATCCAAGTGAAGAACTTTACACGGTATTTGGCAGCTATTAAACACTGAACGCTGCTGCCACTGCTGCTGAGTCGCTTCAGTTGTGTCCGACTCCTCGTGACCTCACGGACTGCAGCCCACCAGGCTCCCCCGTCCCTGGGATTCTCCAGGCAAGAATACTGGAGTGGGGTGCCATTTCCTTCTCCAATGCATGAAAGTGAAAAGTGAAAGTGAAGTTGCTTAGTGGTGTCCGACTCCTCGCGACCCCATGGATTGCAGCCCACCAGGCTCCTCCGTCCCTGGGATTCTCCAGGCAAGAGCACTGGAGTGGGGTGCCATTTCCTTCTCCAATGCATGAAAATGAAAAGTGAAAGTGAAGTTGCTCAGTAGTGTCCGACTCCTCACCACCCCATAGACAGCAGCCCACTAGGCTCCTCCGTCCCTGGGATTCTCCAGGCAAGAGTACTGGAGTGGGGTGCCATCGCCTTCTCCGTAAACACTGAATAGATGTCAGCTATTGTGATTATAATGATGACAAGAGTCAATATATTACTTTCAGATAAGGAAATCCAGGCTTAGGGAAATTAAAATATTTTACCCAAGACCACAGAGCTATTCCTACTGGCCAGACTGGGAATCAAACTCAGGCTCCTAAGTCTGAGCTCTTGCAGTAATATCTAGTATAAAGTGGTATTTAATTTGGCATAAACTTTGGTACGTATTTTGATATTTCATGGAGTTCCACAAGGCACACTTGGCGCCCCACTATCGCATAAGCCTGCGAACACACCGCTGTAAGTCGAGCACTCCTCTAGTGAATCACAAGCATGATCCACTTATAAAATATTACTAGAAATACTACTGGGTGGCCAAAAAGTTCCTGGCACACAGGAAACTGCAATAAATGCATGGACAAGGTTTTTAAAAGTTAAAAGAAAAAAAAAATTCAAACACAAGTCCAAACCTCAGTTTTGTCAGAGTCATCGTTTCCTAGTAGCTCATCATCTTCTTCTCTCCCCAAGCCTCTTGGGGGTCCTGCCCTATGCTTCGGGGTTTCACCAGGATCCTCAATGCTGATTGTGGTGGCATCTGGGTTTGCTGCTAGAGAAGTGGTTGTATCACCAAATTCTGAAATCAATTAGAGCACAAGGGTATCAGAGACCTTACTATTAATTTCAAGTCGAGCTGTTACAACCTTAGCTTTGCTATAGACCCTATTTGAGAGAAATGGCAAAAGACTCTGAAAAAAATCTCATAGAAAACAAACTGACACAGAAAAATGATTATAAAGACAACAGAATTTGAAGTCAGACCTGAATTGTAGTCCTGGTTAAATTACTAAGTATTCAAGCCTGAGTAAGTAACTTAACCTTGATAAGCTTCAGTGCCCCCCTCTCTTCCATAGGGAGAATAATATTTACAGAATTGGGGAAAAATTAGGAGTATTACCATAAGTAAGTCCTCAGCAGAGTGCCTAGCCCATAGCAAGTAACCAACCTAACTCTCTCTTCTTTGATTCAAGTTCAAAAAAAAATTTAATGGAAGTTATTTTTTTCCAGTAAGTCCTATGTGATCACTACAGGAAACATGGAGACAAAAATGAAAGTAGAAACGGCAGAATAAAAATCACTCTTGGTGCAAGCGTGCTTAGTCACTTCAGCTGTGCCTGCCTCTGTGCGATGCTATGGACTGTAGCCTGCCAGGCTCCTCTGTCCACGGGGTTCTCCAAGGCAAGAATACTGGAGTGGGTTGCCATGACTTCCTCCAGGGGATCTTCCTGACCCAGGGATCAAACTCATGGCGACTCCTGTGTCTTCTGCATTGCAGCCAGGTTTTTTTACCACTGAGCCACCCAGGAAGCCCCCCAAAATCACTCTTAGTCCCACCCATATAAAACTAACACTATTAACTTTTGGTATATTTCCTTTTCTCTGTACAGTAGATTCATACCAGTGATGATCATTCATTCAACAAATATTTACTATAAGCATACAATTGCCAAGTATTGACTTAGGATGTGATGGCATACTATGTAAACAATTTTGGATGCTGCTCTGTCTACTGGGGATTATACAAAAATGCCTTTTTCATGTTATATCAGTCTTTACAATGAACGTTTATGTGTCTCCATAGTAGTCACTGAGCTGGAGGTGGAAGATTAGGAGAGAGACACCACAAGTTAATACAACTATTCCACTGCTATTGGATGTTTAGGTTGCTTCCCACTTTTATTAGAACAAGTAACACTGTTAAGAGTATCTGTGCAGAGAAAGTTTTGGGGCTTATTGCCTTAGTATGAACACTATCTTAAAGAGATTGGAATACCAGACCACCTTACCTGCCTCCTGTGCAACCTGTATGCAGGTCAAGAAGCAACAGTTAGAATCAGACACGGAACAACAGACTGGTTCCAAATTGGGAAAGGAGTACGCCAAGAGTGTATATTGTCACCCTGCTTATTTGACTTGCATGCAGAGTACATCACAAGAAATGCTGGGCTGGATGAAGCACAAGCTGGAATCAAGATTGCTGGGAAAAATATCAATAATCTCAGATATGCTGATGACACCACCCTTATGGCAGAAAGCGAAGAGGAATTAAAGAGCCACTTGATGAAGGTGAAAGAGGAGAATGAAAAAAGCTGTCTTAAAACTCAACATTCAAAAAACTAAGATCATGGCATCTGGTCCCATCATATGGCAAATAGATGGGAAAATAACAGAAACAGTGACAGACTTTATTTTCTTGGGCTCAAAAATCACTACAGATGGTGACTGCAGCCACGAAATTAAAAGACACTTGCTCCTTGGAAGAAAAGCTATGACAAACCTAGACAGCATATTAAAAAGCAGAGACATTACTTTGCCAACAAAGGTCCTTATAATCAAAGCTATGGTTTTTCCAGTAGTCATGTATAGATGTGAGAGTTGGACCATAAAGAAGGTTGAAAGTCGCAGATTTGATGCTTATGAACTGTGGTGTTGGAGAAGACTCTTGAGAGTCCCTTGGACTGCAAGGAGATCAAACCAGTCAATCCTAAAGGAAATCAATCCTGTGTATTCATTAGAAGGCTAAACCTGAAGCTCCAATACTTTGGCCACCTGATGGGAAGGGTTGACTCATTAGAAAAGACCCTGATGCTGGGAAAGACTGAAGGCATGAGGAGAAGAGGACAACAGAGGATCAGATGGTTGGATGGCATCACCGACTCAATGGACAGGAGTTTGAGCAAGCTCTGGGAGATGATGAAGGACAGGAAAGCCTGGCGTGCTGTAGTCCATGGAATTGCAAAGAGTCAGACATGACTGAGTGACTGAACAACAATGAACATTATCAGCGGGATCACTAGGTCAACGGGTACAAATCATTTTTAAGGCTCTTGAGCCCTATTGCTAAACTGCTCTCCAAAAGAACCTTGCCCATTCATGTCCACCAGCAATGGCCAAGACTTCCTATCTCTGGGCATCCTAACAAACTTTATCTAGCCACTCAGATAAAATTCAGGGTAGCTGTGCAATTTGACAGGACTGAGGAAAAGTTAGGAAGACCCCCTGGAGAAGGAAATGACAACCCACCCCAGTATTCTTGCCTGAGAAACCCCTTGGACAGAGGAGACTGGCAGGCTACAGTCCATGGGGTTGCAAAAGAGTCAGACAAACCTTAGCAACTAAAGAGCAACAACAACCAAAGGAAGGGTATCGACAGGGCACCACTCTAACACTACAAGCAGGGCAGTAGGATGGGGCTCTTGTATAACTGAGCCCAATCTTATTGCCTTTCAGCTATGCAAATAGTTTTGTGCAGAGAAATACAGTGACTGAAATGAATGAGGTGGCTGATATATAACAATTACTTGAGTTTTGGTCTCCAGTGTTTTGGCAGCATGAGGCTCTGGAGTGAGACAGTCCTTTGTTTAAGATAAACTAGCACTCCATAACCTTGGGCAAATTACTCCATATCTCTGAGTCTGGGTTTCTTCAACTATAAAATGTAGATAATACTTATCTCACAGAGATTTTGAGGATCATATGAGATAATAATAAATATTTTCACAGCCATCATTTATTGACTGGGCAGGGCACTGACATTTTAAAAAATGGTTATAGCTTTGCCTGAGAGAATCAGACCAAGGAAGATATATTTAAGTCTCATATTTAAAAAGCAGTAGTTTACCAGGGGAAGAACACGCCAGAAGGAGGAACGAAAACTGTCACTTTAGAGTACCAAGTCCAAAGAAGTTCAAGGGAGAGAGATAACTCATCTAGCTGCCCTATGAGAAAGATGGCCAGAAGCGGTGGGGACAGCATCTGATGCCAAAGGGTATAGGATCAGCAAGACCCAGAGATGAAAAATGTGTCCCCGTGTGTGAAGAATAGCAGACGGCCTAGCTTGATTTGAATGTAGGATATGTGTACCTCGCCCATGATGACTGTTCACACATTCTGCTCTGTAGTAGTTATTCTTGTCCATTTCAGCTCCTTGAGGGCAAGATGGGTGTGTTTCTTATTTCCGCCACCAACATTACCAACTTCTACATTTTTTGCTATGTTTTGCCTCTGCTCCTTTCCTGACACAATGTCTCCCATCTGCAGGACCCTGACCTCCACTTTTTCATTTAACACCATTCTTCCTCGGAGAAGCTTTCCGTGACCCCCACAGCATCCTGTGTTCTCTAAACAGCAAAGTCTAACATGGTTTATTAAGTACTGTGTGACTCAGCTTCTGCCTCCCCTCAAATCTGACCTTATGACAGCCTCCCCCACCATCTGGGCTCTGGTACATTGGCCTTGTGTTAATTCCTTGGGGAAAAAAATGAAACAAACTCCCACTCTTCTCAAGTACTATGCACATGCTGTTCTTTACACTGGAACTTTCATGCCCTGTACTCCCAGATAGGATGATCAAGGAAGGCCTCTGGAATGATGTGAGATTTGAGCAGAGCAAAGGAACGAGTCATATGGCTATCTGCGGTAAGAATGTCCTAAGCAGGAAGATGGCACAAAAGCCCTAAGGGTACCTGGTGTCTAGGAGGGACAGTGATGAGGCCCATGTGGGGAGGCAGAAAGAAAGGGCTAGAGTACTGCAAAATGAAATCAGAGGCAGAGAAGGCCTGGATCACGAGGCCTCCTAAGCTCAGAAAGGGCTCTGCCTTCCACTCCCAGTGAGATGGAGCCACTGAAAGGTTTTGGGGGAATGGCATGATCTGACTTGGTTTTAAAGGACTACTCTGGATGCAAAACAAAGACTGCAGAAAGGTAAGGGAAGATCTGAAGGAAGCAAAGGGCTATAATCCAGACATGAGGTGATGATGACCTTGAGCATGGTAGGAGAATGGCAGAGGTGGTAAGCACTGGTCAGGTGCTGGATGTATTTTGAAGACAGTGTTGACAGTATTGGCTGATAACGTAGATTTTGCTTCAAACATCTTTTCTTTTCCTTAGGTAGGAGTAAGATAGCATAGGTTGTGATGCCTGGGTTCAAACTCTTCTTTACCACTTACTATAACCTTTAGGCAAATGACCTAATTTTTCTGTACCTTAATTTCCCCATTGGTAAAATAGGGAGAGTAAAATAACTACTTCATAAAGCTGACATAAGGATGAAAGGATTTATTTGTAAAGCACTTAGAACAGTATCTGCTATTTAGGAAATACTATGGGCTTCCCCAGAGGCTCAGACGGTAAAGAATCTACCTGCAATGTGGTAGATTCAAGTTCGATCCCTGTGTCAGGAAGATCCCCTGCAGAAGGGAATAGCAAACCACACCAGTATTCTTGCCTGGAGAATTCCATGGACAGAGGAGCCTGGAGGGCTGTGTCTATGGGTACACAGTGTCGGACTCAACTGAGTGCACACACAAACGCGTGCACACAAGTGATTACAAGGCAAAATGAGCATTCATCAATCCCTAGCTCATGTCAGGCTCTGGGCTGAGTTATGACCTTTTTTTTCAGTACTTGAATAGTTTGTAGATATGTATTTAAAAGATCATTTAACAAAAGAATGTCTCCCTCACTAGACTGAGGGCTTCATAAAGGAAGACACTGACTATTCACTCTTCCACCCTGATAATGAGAACAATGGTCACACTCATGAAAGACTTATTGATTTAATGAAGGAATGACCTGATTATGTTTCATCATAATAATCCTTTTATACTTTCATCTACTCAGCAGTGTAAAAAAAAAAAATCCCCTTTATCTTTTGATCTTCTGTATCTAGTAGAGTTCTAAGCACAAATAGGTGCTCAATAAATGCCTGTTTAACTAAGGCAGGAACTCTATAAACAATTTCTGTAATCTGCACTAAATTTATTATATTCCCAATCTAAAGGGCTATTTGGCAAAAAAGAACCACTAACACAGACAAATGGAATAACCTGTTGTGGCAAACATTCTTTTATGAAGATGTCTGAAATAATCTTCTTTAATATATGTGCCAGTATACCAACCAAAATCCATTGCTTTTACTACAGAAAGGCTAATCATAAAAGGTGGACACTCAAATGATGTACCTTCAAACTGCAAGTCATCTACCGTTGCCATTCAGTCAGTGGGTCGTCTCCCAATTATTAGGAAGATAATTTGCAGAGGTCTAAAAGGAAAAAATAAATACACTTCATAGGATACCATAATAAAATATCTGCAAACAAATCTTATTTTAGGGTTAGAAATGGTGTTGCTTTCCCTTGTGTCCTTTCTTAGTGGAATTTGATAGGTTTATAAAAAGATAACCATTTAGCATCAGATACTATCAAAAATGTTATAAAGAAACTACGGTGGGGGGGCCCAGGGTGGTGACGAACAGGGGTCCATTGATTCCATCCAATCTCACTTACAAAGTGGGTGTTTAAGGGCCGAGTGCAGCCTGGAGATGGAAGGATGAGAAAGGGGAGGCAGGGATTTGACAGAGATGGCTATGAGGGCAGTGAACAGCAAAGGCCGTCAGCCTAGCCAGTGGTTAGGGCACAGGTTCTGGGGTTGGACAGACTTGGATTTGAGTCCTGATTCTGCTGCTACTGGCTATTTTGACTATGGGCTCCTCAGGATCTCAGTTTCCTCATCTGTAAAATGGGTTTAGAATTGTACCTACTCACACCATGTTGGATGCCATTAACTGAGACAAGAGAGCGTGAGGCGCTTAGTGCACGGCGAAGCAATTAGTAGGCATTGGAGTGATGGGAACCCTGCAGCCTGGGGCCCCCTGAACCCAGGATGGTCTGGGAAAGAGCTGCCCAAGACGCACGGGCAGTGTTTTAGGAGGAGGAGCTGGGCCGCAGCGACCCAGGTGGATAGATCCCAGGGCTTTTCAGTCCCGGGCAGGCCCCGCAGACCCCGCTGCCTCACCTCTGGGGCGCTCGGAGTCCAACCTGTCTGGGTAAGCCTGGGGCCTCAGATTCTAGGCGCAAGTTCTGGTCCCACCGAGTTGCCGGAAACCGGAGATCCGGGGGGCAAAACTTCTCCACCTCCTCCGGGCAGAGCTCCGCCCCCTTAAAGAGACAGCAGCTCCCGGAGCATCACTTCCCGAGACCTCAACAAGCAGCACCATCCTCAGCTCGCTCCCTCCGCCACCCACCTAAGGGAGAAGATCGGGTTCTTAAAGAGGCAAGTGGAACGGGGCGGAGCGATGGGGATGCTGAGAGGGTCTGCTTTGGCTCACCTCGCTCCCAGGGTCAGGGGTAGGGGGAGCAGAGAATTCTCTAGAGTGGGGTTTACTTTATATTTGGTTATATCTCTTTTCTTATTGAAATATAGAACAGCTTAAGGAAAGACGATTGTAAAAAGGAAAAAATACCATCAATCCTCCCATTCTTGGCCGTTCCTTAAAAAAACTATTTATTTACTTATTTTAAAAAGTGTAATTAACCAGGGAGGGAGATGCAAATCAATTACTTTTTGAGGGATGGAATGCCCATGATCTGGGTCAGAAGGATGTCTGTTCATAGAGACACCTCCGCATGTGTGTAATTTGTTTCTTCACTCCTGCAGCGGTCTTCCTTACGGTCTCTGGGCAGTGAGAGGTGGGTAGGGATTGGCCTCTGTTACCGCTGTGTCCCCCGCACAGCATCTGATCAATGCCTTGACTACCACAGGAGCCCAGGAAGCGATGAAGTTGCGCTGAGTGACCTGATGAGAAACATTTTGCCCCTGCTGCCAGTGTTTGCCTGGTTAACACCTACACGTCCCTCAAATGTGGGTACAGTTTGTTTCTCCCAGGGAAAGACCTTCTTCGCCTCCCAGGATTTCTTTTGCTCTCATAGTGCCCTGTATTTGCCTAAACCTCAGCAGTTGCAATTATTTGCCCATTTTTGCGGGCCTGTGAGTGATTTGCAGGGAAGGATCAGGAATGATTCTGGTCTCTGGGTCCTCGGGGCAGCCCAAAACCAGGGACACGATATCTGCTCACCAAAGGTTAATTGTAGAGTGATCGCGTTTTGACTATCTTAGCGGCATAAGCCAACATCACTGCCCACACAAGGTGGCAGCTGTGACTCTGGCCTCACTACACTGGGCCTTCACAATCCATTAGAATGACTTACATCTGACTGATGGGCTTCTCAGGTGTCACTCGTGGTAAAGAACTGGCCTGCCAATGCAGGAGACATAAAAGACACAGATTTGATCCCTGGGTCAGGAAGATCCTGACTAATGAAATAATTATACACACACACACACATACTGTATTTACTGGACTAACCTTGTGATCAGGCTTTATATGTGCAGCTCTTTAATTCTCTGAACAATCCAGCAAGCTCAAGGAGACTATCCTCATTTTCTAAAGAGAAAACTGAGGTTATGTATGTACGTGTAGGTTACTTTAAATAGGTTGAATAGATACCAGGAATGCATTACAGCACACAAATTCATATGTACAAGTGTTTCAAACACCTCTTATGCCCCATGTCCGACCCTCTTGGCTGCACCTGCTGCTAATTTCACCACCACAGACCTTATTCCAGCTTCAGCAGGTATAACCTAAGTGGGCATCACCTCAAGTCCATATCACAGGCTTCTCACTTCCAGCATCAAGGCTTGTGTCATGGGGTCATGGGACTGCGGGAATGGTTCAGCACTGGGAAAGTGCAGCCCAGAAATGCATAAGTGGGGAGCAATCTATGCCTCATAGGACAAATCTTAGATCAATGGAGTCAGTAACTGAGTACATGTTTCTCTTTTTCCTCTCAGATGGACTCTCCTCAGATATTTCATACAGCTTTCAAACTGGCTTGCAGAATCAAACAACCAAATGCCTTTGGCAGTGGCCAGTTTGATAATGCAATAGCTCTCCTTCCCTCCCTGTTCTACAACTCTCGTCCTTCATTCCTGGTCCTTGTACTCACACTTGCCAACAAAGTACTCCCATGAGATAAGGAGCCCACACTGAGCCCTGTCGGACCAAGAGTGGTCCCGGAACGCAGCCCTCAGGGTGAAGTTTTGGAACCAGACGGCTCACCAGTCAGATGACAAAAACAACCCCATAGCTATGTTGGAAAGAGGTGATAATACATAGACTATATATTTCTTCTCTTGGAAATAGAGATAAAAGTTGCAGTGATATATTAATCATAATGATATGTAAGTTTTGGCTAAAAATGAAACAAGCATCAAATGTAACTGTACTGGTTTAACTAAAACAGTAATTCTCAACTGGGGGACTATTTTGCTCCTAGGGGATATTTGACTACGTCTGAAGACATTTAAAAAATAATTTTATTGTGGTATGGTTGATGTACAATGTTGTGTTTGTCTCAGGGGTACAGCAAATTATTCAGTTATACGTGTACATATACTCATTCTTTTTCAGATTCTTCTCCCATATAGGTTATTACAGAATACTGAGTAGAGTTCCCTGTGCTGTACAGGAGGCCCTTGTTGGTTACCTATTTTACATATAGCAGTGTGTGTATGTTAATCCCGAGCTCTTAATTTACCCCCCTCACCACACTCCCCTTTGGTGATCACAAATTTGTTTTCAAAATCTGTGAGTCTGCTTCTGTTTTGTGAATAACTTCATTTATATCATTTTTTTAAAGATTCTGTGTGAGTGATGTCCTGCGATATTTGTCTTTCTCTGCCTGACTTATGAAGATTTTTTTCCTTTTTTTTTAAAGTTATTTTATTATTTTTATTGTTACTTTATTTATTTTTATTTTTTGGCCACACCTCACAACGTGTGAGATCTTAATTCCCTGAGCAGGGATGGAGCCCGTGCCCCCTGCAGTGGCAGTGCAGAGTCTTAGCCGCTGGACTACCAGGGAGGTCCCATGAAGACATTTTTGATTGTCCCCACTTGTGGGGTGTCACTGGCCAGTGTGCTTCTAAACATCCTACAGTGCACAGGATAGCCCCTAAAAGCAAAGGATTATCAAAATGTCAGTGGTGTCAAGGTTGAAAAAATCTGAGCTCAAAATGTTCATATTTCCTTAGCTCATTGGTCCAAATACATGTGGTAAGGAAGGTGAGCCCAGCTGAAACTATTTAGACCTCTACCCCTCCCTATGTGGCGCTAGTGGTAAAGGACCTGCCTGCCAATGCAGGAGACTCAAGAGCCTAGGGTTTCATCCCTGGGTCGAGAAGATCCCCTGGAGAAGGAAATGGCAACCCACTCCAGTATTCTTGCCTGGGAAATCCCACGGAGAGAGGTGACTGGTGGGCTACAGTCCATGGGGTTGCAAAGAGTCAAACACAACTGAGCAATGGACGTACACACTGCTCTGAGGGGGGAGTGAACCAGTGAGAGACAGAACCCACCCCACCTTCACCTATTTAGAATGGAGGAAGAATGAGGGAAGAAGGGAAACTGAGGAGAAAACCTTGCTTTGATGGACAGGATTTGGGGTGGAGGGACAGTCTGAAAAGTATGAGCCTTGTTAGATGCTGCACATGATCCCAACAGAGTCCGTTCAGCTCAGTCACTCAGTCATGTCCGACTCTTTGTGACCCCATGGACTGCAGCACTCCAGGCTTCCCTGACCATCGCCAACTCCGGAAACTTGATCAAATTCATGTCCATAGAGTTGGTGATCCATCCAACCATCTCATCCTCAATCGACCCCTTCTTCTCCTGACAGCGTCCGCTGATTTTCCACAAAGAGGAGAGCTGACAACCACACAGCTAAGCCATGCTCTGAAAGTGTCTCCAACAGCCCTGCGTTGACACCCATCCCAAGGAGAAAGCTACTGGCCCTTGCATTATTATCTCAGGATGATGTAATGTTACAGAATGGCCACTCGTTATTTTGGCAAATGCACTGTTTTTATAGAGTGAGCTCTGAATCAGGTCAAATAAAACCCAGACCTGAAAATGGAGCTTTCCAAAGGAGCTGTCAGACTAGTCCCATAATGACAGTTCTCTGAAACTGGGACTTTCTGAAGGGCTCCAAACCTATTCTTCCCCTTCCAGTGGTTACTAAATTCTTAGTTTTCACAACAACCATGGTTGCAAAGCTAAATTTTTCAAGGCTGCCTTGGAGCTGGGAGAGGGGAATAGGACTAGAGCAAATTAAAACACCACAAAGCTCACTCTTCTTACCAAGATTCAGCAGTTCTTATTAAATAGACACTTCTCTGGTTATCAAAAAACCTTTCTTTGGTTAATTTACAGAACACTGAAAGAAGTTGATTTTGACAATTTCTGCCAGTGTTCTCATGCTTTTATGAAGTGGATTTTCAGAGATTCTTACTCTTCCATTTCAGAAGGGCTTCTAACTCATTTATATTAAATGCATTTTTTTTTATATGTAGGCACTTCAGTCATCTTTTTTCATTTTAATTACCTCCATGACTCTTATATCTTCTTTCTGTTCTTTCACTAGCTAGTTTTTCTTGCTAGTTCAAAGTTATACATTCATTTAATTTTATTTTGGTTGTTGCTTTTAACTCATTTTATTTTTTCTTATCAGCTTTTAAATCTTATTTTATATATATATAAATATATGTATATGTATATATATACACCACCCTATTGAACAAGTAGCTCCTAGTCTGCTGTTTAACATATTCCCCCAGTCTTTAATTCAACAATTGCATATTTATTTCCTAAAACTTCCATTTGACTCTTTAAAAAATCATTCTGGATAGCCTATTAATGCTTTTTTTTTTAATCCAGGAAGGCAAATGATTTAATAACTTGCTAGTGGAAGCTGATCTTTGCTGTCAGGGTACACCGGGGTGGCTGTGCTTAGCCGTTCAGTCATGTCTGACTCTTTGAGACCCAGTGGACTGTAGCCCAACAGGCTCCTCCGTCCATGGGGATTCTCCAGGCAAAATTACTGGAGTGGGTTGCCATTTCCTTCTCCAGGGGATCTTCCCAACCCAGGGATCGAATCCAGGTCTCCCGCATTGTAGGTGGATTCTTTATCGTCTGAGCCAGCAGGGAAGCCCATGAATGCTTTAAACCTTTAGTACATAGTTGTAGTTATTCAAATAGTTTTTATTGATAATTCTAATGTC